CCCCCCCCCCCCCCCCCCCCCCCCCCCCCCCCCGGCCTCCAGCCTTACCAAGCTCGCGGCGGTACACGACCAGCCATCGATTGGGGCCTTATCCTTTCGGCCGGCCGCCTTGTTGTTGGACGTGGTGTGCGCAGGTGGCGGCCGCACTCGGCGGCATCTCTGGGCCTTTCTCGTTCGTGTACTGGTGCCCGGGAAGGCGGGCGTTGTACTACGGGAGGGATCCCGCCGGTCGCCGTAGTCTTGTCTTGCGGAGACCTAGGTATGTGTAAATAATTTGCATGAAATAAGACTGTATACAGGAATGTATGTATACATACGTATATACATGAAATAAGACTGTATACAGGAATGTATGTATACTTCCGTATAAACATGAAATTAAGACTGTATATGGGTGTGTATATGTCGTACGTATATACATGAAATATGACAGTATACAGCATACAGGTTTGTAGATTTTCTTTTTACGTTCGTTACGGTTCGCTGGGCTTGCTCGAGTCAAAAGCAAGTCAGCTGTGTGTGAGCTGCTGAGCTTGGGGCAAACGTCACAACTAGGGCTTACCGGGCAATCAATTCCAGCTGTGCGCCTGGCGTGCTTTCGTCGCCTCACACGGGATGAATTTGCGAACAACTCCACCATGTGCCTCCGTGCTTTTGGTTCCTGCCGTCTTCACTACGGAATGCTTGCGTTGTTGTCACCCCGTGTCCCGTTTCTCCGGGTACGCGGTGAACTCAACGGTCGGGCCTTCCTTGTGTTCCCCCCTGGAACGAAACACGCCTCCTCCTTCCGCCGCCCGCAAGGTCCTCCGGAGAGGAGATGGTGGTCCTTTCCTGCCTGCCCGAAAAGCAGTCCACGGAACCCCCCGGAATAAGTTGCCCGGTCAAGCCTACAATCCCGGTGACCCCAGCCCACCACCACGCTAGGGCTGAAGACGACGAGCGTCCGCCTCAAGTCGACGATCGTCAGCCTCAAGCGACGGCGATCGACACTGATGATGCGGCGGGTGTTGTTGCTGTTGGCCGTCGGCCTCCGGCGACGGCGGTAGAAGCGGAGGATGCGGGTGCTGTTGTCGTCGCTGCCGAGAGCGACTGGGAGGAGGTCCGTGCCGACGGTATCTATTTCCTTACCTCGGACGGCACCTCCGCCACCACCGGCGATGGTGGGGCTCGTGTCGACGGGAACGGTTGGACTGCTCCCCGCCCGCAGCTCTACCGTTGGTCGGTGCGGCCGGAGGCCGGCCTCCCGGAAGCGGGCCGCGTGTTGACGCCGCCGAGCGAGAGGCAACGGGACACGGGGGGCGATGACGTTGGGGGCAGCGCGGGAGATGAGGGGAGCAAGGTCGAGGCGGTGAGCAACGAGAGAGAGGAAGGGGGCCGGCGGCTTGGCACCGAAGGCAGTGACGACGGGGGGGGCTCCGCGGCATCAGCGGCGGCGGCGGGTTTGCTGGAGAGGCTCAGGGACTCGATCCGACGCCGCGTGTGCACGATCCCGCACCCGGCGTCCCACCGCTTCGACCGGCGCCGTCGAGCTGCTAGCGGCGACGACGGTAGAGAGGAAGCCAAGCCGCAAGGATTTCGAGAATTCGCAGAGTCGGAGAAGACCGGGCCGGGCAACGGGCTGGCGAACGCCCTCCACGCAGAGGGTGCCGCTGCTTCTGCGACCGATACCCGCCCCCAGCGGGCGCGGAATGACGACGCTGCGGGTGGTGCCGCTGCTACGGCTTCACGAGGAAGTCCTGCCGCCGCCGCAGCAGCAGCAGCAGCGGCGGCACGGGTGGGGATTTTGTTCTCGGGAGGGCTTGACTCGGTCGTCCTCGCGGCGTTGCTGGCGGAGGAGGGGGCCGAAGGGAGAGGACCGGCTGTGCCGAAGGGTGAAGCCATCGACCTCATCAACGTCTGCTTCGACAGGTGACGAAAGAATGGGTTACTATAATAGTGGTCATGGTGGTGTGGCGTGAACGAGGGGTAAATTTAGCGTCGTTCAGGGACCGGGGATACTCGCGGGCGAGTTGTGATCGTTCCCTCGTGCAGCAGACCGTTACTACCAGCGTTTCTTAGCCCAGGCGTGGGCGCGAGCGCGCTGCCGCACCGTCCTCACCGACAGGTCCGCGCCCACCCCCTTAAACCTCCGCCTGTATACTACAGTCACCCCCGTTGTCTGACACCAACAACCCCACTAATGCTTCTCCTCCGTCCCCGCTCACATGCCTCTTTACCGTAAGCCCGAGCGGGCACCAGAGCCCGGACCGCCTGGCCTCGATCGCCGCAGTCGGAGAGCTGAAGCGGCTCTTCCCCTCCCACGCGTGGAGACTCGTTTGCGTGGACGCGAGCTACGGGGACGTCCTGGGGCGGACGGAGGCGGTTTGGCGGGTCATGCAGGCAAGGAAGTAAGGAAGTGGAGCAATAAAAACGGAGTTCTTCTGGTAGTACGATGGCGTAGTCTGACCAAAAGGACGACTTCGAAATTGGCCGCAAGGATTCCGTCATTTTTTATTTATTTATTTGTTTGTTTTTTCATCAATGTGGACGCGTGGTTTCAATGGATTATGTTTGTGTATACATAGGCATTCACCGCCGCGTAGTAGTAGTAGAAGGAAAGCGGTGTGATCTCGGCAGCCGCGTTGCCAGCAAATGGTGTGCATGGCCCATGCCCTTCTCGTGTTTGCGGGAGAGCGGCTGGGCGCCATGATGCCGTCCCTATCGTTCTTTGTTCGGATTGTGTTTTTGTCCCTGCTGCTGAACTGTCAGTGCTACTGCTGTTTACAAGAAAATTCGGCAGCGCAAGAGTCGGTTCCGATGCTTTTTGTTCCACTCTAAAGCTCATTTTGAAATACACGGAGGATACGATCCCCGTTGACAGCTCGTAGGGCTGCAACTTATGCGATTCTCGGTTTGTTTCGGGTGGCGTTCTTCAACCATTGTTGTCTAGGCGGCAACATGCACCGAACACCACACTGACCCCCCCCCCCGCCCCCCGCCACTCTACCCGTCTGCGCCCATGAAAACCGCAACGGTATCATACAGCCGTGCAGCACGACGATGGACTTTAACATCGCGGCCGCCTTCTGGTTTGCGTCTCGCGGGAAAGGGTGGCTCTACCAGCCCCTCGCCCAGCCGCCGTCGCCACCCCCCCCGTCTTTCGATTCTGGCGTTAACGCCGGGGCAGAGTGTGAAGCACCCGGGCCAGCTGCTGCGCTTAAGGTGGCCCCCAAGGTAGACGGCGGCGGCGGCGGCGGCGGCGGTGCCATCTGCAGAACCCCCGGGGATTCCCCCCCTTCGGCAGCGGTGGCGGGGGTGTTTGGGGGCCCCGCAGCCGCGGACGGGGTGTCACGCGTGGAGCGGCCGTCCCCGGTCACCGCTGCAAGCCGCACTGCCCCTCCCCCTGCCTCCGGTGTTGCTTCTGCTGCTGGTGCTCCTCCGCCTGCTGCCGTAGCTGCTCCTGCTGCTGTTGCCGTTGCTTCTCCTCCCGGCGTTGCTGCTGCCGCTTCCGCTGCTGCCGCTGCTTCCGGGGCGGGAACGGACGTTGGCCGGAGCGGCGGCGGCAGTAGCAGCAGTAGCAGCAGCTGCCCGAGAAGAAGGGCCACCGAGGCCAAGGCCAAGGTCAAGACCAAGGTCAACAAGAACGGGGACGAGCTGTGCCCCGTCGACGGCTGCCGGCGACTCCTCCTCCCGGGCTGCGTGCTGGGCACGTGCAGCCGGTGCTGCCTCAAGGCGCAGGGCCTCATCGAAGCCACCAGCGCCCCCACCGCCGCTGCGTCGGCCCCCCGGCGGTCGGTCCCGCCCCTCGAGAAGGCACGAGGCCTTCCCGGATCTCCCATCGGTCGCGCGGCGGCGGCCACGGCTACGGCGGAGGCAACCCCGCCAGACACGGCGAACGAGCGAAAAGAGACGGCGGCGGCGGCGGCGGCGGCAGCGGCGGAAGAAACGATTGGCGCGAGCCAGGATCGAGCCTCGTGTTCTCTCGGGGCCTCAGATTCTGTTGTCTCTCCTCCCGAAAGGACAGCTCCCGGGGTGGCGGCAGCAGCGGCGGCGGCGGGAGAGCCAATGACCGCCGGCGGCCACGAAGAAGAGACGGCGGCGGCGGCGGCGGCTGTCGCAACGGCTGCGACCACGCCTTCGGAAGCGCTCCCCCCCTCCGAGGGGGGAGACGCGACGACGAGCGCCGACGAGCGGCAACGCCTGTTCAAGGCCCACGCGGAGGAGGAGGCGCGGCGGGCGCTCGAGGGCCACCTGCTGGAGCGCTTCGACGAGGACCTGTCGGCGCCGTTTCGGGCGGAGGAGCTCGCGGCGCTGCTGCTGCTGTCGCCGCCGCTTCGACGAGAGAACAACTCGGGTCCTGGCCAGGCGGAGGTATGCATACCGTCCCACGATCAACGTCGTCTCGATCCGGAGGCCCGGGCAGGACAGCGGCGGCAGCGGCCGGTCAGGTGGTGCCCCGTTCACAGGCGATTTCGTAGGAAGGGGGAGGAGCGAGGGGGGAGAGAGACGGAAGCAGCCGCAGGGGAGCCGTGGCCAGGAACGTCGGCGACCAGGGTTACCTCTGCCGCGAGGGTGCTCCTGGTGAGGAGGACATATTTGTTGTTGTTGTTGTTGTTGTTGTTGTTGTTGTTGTTGTTGTTGTCGTTGTCGTTGTCGTTGTCGTTGTTGTCATCGCCGTCATCGTCGTCTTACTGCTGTTCCGGCCTCCGCTCAGTACCTTCTAATGTCCGTACCGGTCCAACTGACACGGACGCCTTCTTCCGGGGTCACGAGCCAACTACCTACTACCAAAAGAGGGTTGCACCATTCTAGACATCAAAACTAAAATTGACCCCAGAAAAAACATCCTGCGATGGCGTGTTTTACAAAATCGTTCCACGACTGTGGAGATGCCCTTCATAAAAGGGTACAACCTCCCCGACGTTTGCCGACGACGATCCCACACGACTACAGTTAGTTGCATTTGGCAGGAGAAAGAGAAAGCGCTTCTTAAACTATCCTCTGCCTTAGTATTTATCGCCCACATGGAGTGGATGAGGGGGGGGGCAGTGGGTCTAATCCCGGTGCTCTCCTTTCCTCTGCCGCCAGCGCACATCCCATATGTCACGCTTTGCAGACTCCATCCCCCTTACAAACCACGACGCCAACCGTATGTGTCCTGTTCCGTCCGTTTCTTGTGGCACAACCGTGGGTCCTCCTTATCCTTCCAAGGTGGGCATCGGGGCCGACGAGTTCATGGGCGGTTACAGCCGACATCGCAACGCCTTCAATAGGGGGGGTAGGTCATACGCCCCTTTGGCAAAGTAGGAAGGAACGATTGGCCATCGTTGATCGGTCCTCCTGTCGGAACAGTGCTCCGTCCTCGTGAGGGACGACGCGTGGCCAATGGTCTAACCGCGAAAAAGGCATGCAAACCTTGAGAGCATCCCCCCCCCCCTCCCCCCAGGAATTCGAGAATACGTGTGCCAGTCTACGCCTATTCAATCTTTTTTGTCGAACCCCCCGTGGGTCCCCTGTACATTGGTCTGTAGGTGTTCAGAGGAGGAGAGGGCCCAGACCTCGTGCAAGGTGTAACGGAAGGTCTTGAGCCTTTCCAGTACAGTGTGGGCAAAGAAGACGAGGCTGAGGCGACCGCCGTGGTAGGCGTAACGTCGTGCGAGGGCAGTGCCCGCGGCCCTTGTCAATGCGCTGAGAAAAAGAAGCAGAAAACGAGGGCCGAGGCTGGACAGAAAAACACCGGCACCTACGATTTCTCCCTGTACTGTACCCTTCTTCTGGTAGCGTACCCGTTGCGTAGGGGTACCCTTTCGGTAAGTTACCGTACCCTACCCTTTTGGTAGGGTACCCTTCTGGTAGCGTACCCGTTGGGTAGGGGTACCCTATTGGTAAGGTACCGTACCCTACCCTTTTGGTAGTGTACCCTTCTGGAAGGACACCCTTTTGGTAGTGTACCTCTTTGGTAGGGTACCCTCTTTGAAAGGTACCGTTCGGCGTCTACGCCTTCCTATGTAGTGATTCCCCTCTCATCTCTCTGGAAAAAGAACGCCGTTGCTCAAATCATGTCGTATGCGGTAAAAACAACGACGACGACGACGACGACGTGTTTGCGAAAAAAGGGGACGCGGCCCTCGCCGAGGAGCTGCTGAAGGACCAGGGTCGGCTGTGGACTCGAAACCTGGGGAGGGACGACCGCGCGATCGCCGACCACGGGAGGGAGGCGAGATTCCCCTTCCTGGACGAGGACGTCGTCGGCTACCTCAGGTGGGGGGTGTACTCTTCACAGCTGAAATCAAACCGTTAGATGGACTAGTCAGCGCTGACTAGTCTAATGGTTCGATATCGGCTTCTAGCTAGAAAGTCGTGGGGGTAGTCAGAAGCCGCAATCAAACCATTGGACTGGCTGGTAGCGCGCTGACTAGTCTGTAAATAGTGGTTTGATTTCGGCTTCTAAAGCTCGTCCTCAAAGCCGTGCATGCTACAACAGACCATGAACCTCCTTCGCATCCCTATGGATACAAAGCCGGGACGGAGCAATACGCTGGGTTTTTCACAGGACCATGCTGTTGTAGCACATCACCAAGCGCGAAGCGGCGTGAGGATTCGGCGAGTCGCATGAAGGGTGCGCTGTATCCTGCTAAGTCACCATGCCACACAAGGGCGGGGGGGGGCGTACTCTTATGTTTTGCATGCCTTTGCGGTTAGACCATTGACTACGCGTCCCCGAGAGGATGGAGCATTGATACCACAGGACCGATCACGGATGGCCAACCGTTCCTCCCTACTTTGCCAAAGGTGGCTCAAAAATATTTCCCTACTAATCTATCCATCCCATCGGCATCACTTCCCGCCTTTTCAAACCACTTCCTACTCACCAGTACAGCTACCGTTCCATGTCTCAAACATCTCCCTGTATCTTCCTTCTACTTTTCCGAGCTCAGTCATGTACACTTCCCTCTCCTTGTACAACGGACATTCCGCAACTACATGAAAAAAAAAAAAAAATGCCACAACTACATGAACCCGGTCTTCGCACTCGGAGCCGCGTTGACATTTGAACGTGTCCTCCTCATCGCCTACCTTCCTATGTCTTCGGCTGCAGTCTCAAAAGGCCAGTGTCCCCGGTCCTAACTTTGACCTTAAGCTTTGTCCCTGCATCCATTGGTCCATGTAGGGCACTCCTTGAAACCCTATTCCTTCTTTCCAACATTCCGCACACTTCTAGATCCTCCTTATCTTTGGTTTCTTTCCTTAGATTCTGTTCTTTCTCTCTCGGCAAAAAGCAACAGCAGGATGTGTGTGCATAACGAGCCTGTTCCCGTGAGGATGCCGCCGGGCCGGCCGGCTGCCCCTCCTGTGCTTTGTCGAAAGCACCCCGAGCTGGGCTGTTCGTTTTGTATTAGTCTAATCTAGTACCACTACTTTTGTAGTCGATGTTCACTCGTAAGCAACCTCGGCGGCACCGTCCCCCTCCCTCCCCCCCCCTCCCAACCCCGCGCGCGTGCTCTAGCCGGGGCGCGTCCTTCAACGACCTGGAGCAATTTTTCGACCGATATCTGCTGGAGCGTATTTGTTGCTATGGTGCTTTCTTTCCCCGTTGGTCTATCCTCAAGCAACACCGTCTTCTCTGTTCTGCTACCGCTGTGGACATGCGGCGGCGCTCGAAAAATACCAGGTCTCTGCCCCTGCGGGAAGTTTGCAACATGGACGAACCGGTGGGGATCGGGGACAAGAAAGTATTGCGAGAGGTGAAATGAAGAAAAGTAGCAGTATTGTAGTGCATGCTGGCTTGATCAACAGTCCACCTCGTCGGCGTCGACCGACGACATGCAAGACCACCTACCTCTGCAAGCAAAACTGGGAATAATGCATGCAGGTTTAGAACCCACATCCATCCATCCGTGCCCACCGCGCTTAAGTGCACAGACTGTCCTCTGCGAGCAACGGAATGCATGCCAGCTTATTGAGAGTCCACGTCGGCGTCCACCGAGGTGCAAGGAATACCTTTTTTCGGACGATTGTCCGGACCAAAAATGACCGCCAGTCAAAAAACGGTTTGGTCTCGAGGACAGGGATGATCTGGGTCGTCCCAGTCAAGAAAATATGTTCTTTCAAACTATTGTATGCGTTTGTTGGACCGCCTTCGCGAGACTAGCAAGTGTACGAGGAATTACAACAGGGAGAGGGGACGCAGACCCTATTCCCTAGCCCCAACCCTATAACCCAACTTCCCCCCGATTGCATGCTTTTTCCAACATGTTTACTTAATTTACTTAATCGAAAAACTCTGCGAAGGCTGCTGGTTGTTGTGTTTTGTGTTTTTATTTATTGGAAGACAAAGACGAAACATTCATTGGTTTGAGTTTGCAACATAACATAACATCCGCTCTGCTGCTGCTGCTGCCGTCTGCACTATTTACTACATCCGGGCGTCCGGTGTCCGTGAAAAGTATCAGTATCCATCCTGTTTGGCATGTAAGCGAAGACAACGTGCGTGAACGCACAGAGGTGAAACGTCGTCCGCTTTGTCACCCTGCTTGTGTTGTAGGGTTGTATTCCAAAGGACACTCCAAGTGACTCTTTGTCCGACGTTTGGGCGTGGTTCCCTCCAAGTAGCAAGCAGTGTTTCCGGCGTTCGAACCAATCAATGCTCCCCGCGTCGGGGTCTGTTGCGCCCCCAGAACTGACGGTGAAGCCATCGAAAGTCTCGGGGGGGTGGTGGTGGTATCGAGCGTACTTTACCCACGTGCGTTGTGCCTTCGCGCCGGCCTTAGTTGGTCTAGCGCCCACGCATGCACATACCTCGCCTTTGACGCTACCCGCATCACCTATTTTTTCGTATGCCTCGTTGCACTTTTTTTGGCACCTTCGTCATTCTGCGG